CGCGGGCATCAATGTTCTTAGGATCATCAACGAACCCACAGCCGCCGCCATTGCTTATGGACTGGACAAGAAGAGCGTAGGAAAGGGAGAGCGAAACGTGTTGATCTTCGACCTGGGAGGCGGTACCTTCGACGTGTCCATCCTGAGCATCGACGACGGAGTGTTCGAGGTGAAGGCAACAGCCGGCGACACGCATTTGGGAGGCGAAGACTTCGACAACAGGATGGTTAGTCACTTCACTCAAGAGTTTCACAGGAAGTTCAAGAAGGATCTTACTACCAACAAAACGCGCACGTTCGACGTCTTCGAACCGCTTGTGAACGAGCCAAGCGAACTCTATCTTCGTCCACACAAGCCAGTCTGGAAATTGATTCTCTGTTCGAAGGCATTGACTTTTAACACTTCCATCACCCGTGCAAGGTTTGAAGAGCTTTGTTCTGACCTTTTCCGAGGAACTCTAGAACCCGTGGAGAAAGCTCTACGAGATGCTAAATTAGACAAGACAAGCATCCACGAATCGTGTGGTAGGTGGATCCACACGCATTCCCAAAGTGCAAAAACTACTTCAAGATTTCTTCAATGGAAAGGAACTGAACAAGTCCATCAACCCAGATGAAGCTGTTGCTTACGGTGCTGCAGTTCAAGCAGCCATTTTACGTGGTGATCAGTCCGAAACAGTGAAAGACATGTTACTTCTTGATGTGACTCCACTTTCAATGGGTCTTGAGACAGCTGGAGGAGTCATGACTGTGCTTATCAAGCGCAACACCACAATTCCCACCAAACATTCTCAGATCTTCACTACATATTCTGACAATCAACCAGGTGTTCTCATTCAGGTATACGAAGGCGAACGAGCCATGACTAAGAATAACAATTTGTTGGGCAAGTTTGAACTAAGTGGCATTCCTCCAGCTCCTCGTGGAGTGCCCCAGATCGAAGTCACTTTCGACGTGGACGCCAACGGTATCCTCAACGTGACAGCGGTAGACAAGTCCACAGGGAAGGAGAACAAGATCACCATCACCAACGACAAGGGTCGTCTCAGCAAAGAGGAAATCGACAGAATGGTCAACGAGGCAGAATCGTATCGGGAACAAGACGCTAAACAACGAGATCGCATTGAAGCCAAGAACCGACTTGAGTCACTTTGTTTCAGCGTTAAATCATCCGTAAATGAACCTTCAGTTTGTGGCAAGGTGTCTCCCGATGAAAAGCGTCGTGTGGAAGACAAGGCAGAAGAAACGCTGAGGTGGCTGGACGCCAATCAATTGGCAGAGAAGGAAGAATACGACTACAAGATGAAGGAATTGGAAGAGGTGTGGCGGCCAATAGCGAGTAAAATCCATGGATCAGCTGGATCCCCTGGAAGCAGTGGCTCCCCAGGAAACGGTCCCACTGTGGAAGAAGTCGACTAAGAATTATTAGTTTTATTCATATTATTAATACTGTTCTACATCTATATCCATATAATCACATGAAAGGCATTGTGAATGTGAATACTGCCCTGTTATTTTATGCATTTTTATATTTTTGTACAATAAAAACTTAAACAAATTTGTTGTCTTTGAAACTTACTCCATACAAGTGATTAAGAAATATTGGTTGATAACTAGACGAGAAAACTGAACAGAAATTATTCCTATGGTGTATGAACTGCTAAGATTCTAATCATAATTTACATCCAATCAAGATCATCTAAACATAAGCGCCTGAATAATGGATTACTTGTATCTGCCAAAATGTTTATCAAGATCCAGTAATCAAGCAGTTTATCAAAATACTCCTTTTACTAGGCTTAACTTGTTACCAGTGATAACATCGCCTATTTGCATTGGCGGAGACGTCTGACAATTTATTCTTGAAAACAATTCAGGAATGAGATGTGGTTTTCACTCATATATTACTTGCTATCCCACACTTGAAGTGATCTTCCACTTCCAATTTAACTTCATGTAAAGTTCTACTAAATTGTATTACTGAATTTAAATTTTGCTGTGATCTGTCGCATGGCATAAGCGAATCCTGTCAGGGATACATTCTACTCTTGTACTATTGTTTTCCTTATACATTCATTTTCTCTGGAGAATAAGGTGTGAGCACGAAAAGATACTGCATAACCAGTGAAATCTGGGGGGGGCTTTTTCTCTCTCTCTTTTCTCTCTTCACCTTCTCCCTCTCTATACAGATCTCGCTTGCCGTCATTCTTTCTAAGACCGTAGCCACCGTTGGGTCTGCATGTAGATATGAAGAATCTCTTTTTTCTTTTCTTCACACACACGGGAATATGCACAACCAGCTGCGAAAGTTCTCAGGTCTATATCCTTTTTCGTTCCTTACATTTTTACGAAGAAATAAACAGATTCACACATGACTAATGTTTAGCAAATGGCAATAACAACAGCTATAGTAGGTCGATTTTCATTTTTATTCACTCACAGTATCTTCTACAACTAGTTGCGGAAGTTTTCAAGTCTACATACTTTTCTGTTCTCTATATTTTTGTGAAAAAATAGTGATTCACACTTCATGACTAACAGTGGTAAGCAGGAAAGAAAGCGTTTGCATTCAACAGTAAGACTCACAAAACATTATAATGTCTAGCACAATGACTTTATTCATGATTATGATATAAGATCTAATAAGGAAAATAACGATGTTTGATTGGTTATGTTGCGGAAAATAAATTTGGTGAGCGACAATATAAGAGGAAATCATACAAAAGAAAACAATGACAATAAAAATCACAAAATGGATTTCTTTCCTTTTGTTCTATTGACTTTTTATGACCTTAACCTTCTTCCTATAACGTTATGCTAGAACTTCTATGGTAAAATGTGTTCCCTAATAAGGTAATATCCGGGCAGAAAAAGGGGGAAGGAAAAAAGAATAAGGCGAACAATAACGCAACCGAGAGTTACTATGCTGTCAACAAGGACTAATTGAAATGTAGAAGCTACACGAAATGAGTTAATGAAGATGTTTTGACAATCATCATAATGAAAGATGTTTTTCTATTCCTTATATTTTAGCAGAACAATGAATGGAAGTACGGGAAAACACACGAATATGCCGAAGGCCTTTTCATCAGGGCATACACAACAAGAGATACATAGAAGTATATATACATGTACATGGCGGTCAGGTCACGTCAGTGATTAGGTGAGCAACGACCTTGGCTAGTTCGTGGCTCCCCGTTGCGGTGTTGAAGTTGTTAGTTGAGTGTATGTATGCCGCTTCTACCAACTTCCTTTGTCGTGGGGGCAGGCCTTGTTTTATGTTTTATCATAAAACGACATGAATTCCACACCTATATTTTAGCGAAGAGACAACCGTGATTCACACTTCATGCCTATAACAGCAGTGGTAAGCAGAAGTAAGAAAGCGCTTACATTCAACAGTAAGAATCACAAAACATTGTAATGTTTATTGCAAAGAGGAATTTATTCATGATTATAGATACCATAATAAGGAAAATAGCGATGTTTCATCCATTATCACGCGGAAAATAAAGCGACAATGTAAGAGGAAATCGTATAAAAGAAAACAATAACAATAAAAATCACAATAGAATTATTTTCTTGTCTTCTTTTGTTCTATTGACTCTTTAAGACCTCGACCTTCTTTCTATAACGTCTTGGTAGAACGCAAACACAGTAACGTGTATACAAAGACGAAAAGGAAAACAGCTACAGTAAGAAATGAAACTAAGTCGTGACGCTCCGAGATGTTCACGAGTTCCTGTTACGACGAATACTAAACCGAATATGGTTTATTATTCGCATGAAGAGGAACCCGTGAAGAGTTCGAAACGTCACGACTTATTTTCATTACTTACTGTGGCTGTTTTCCTCTTCACCGTTATGGTAGAATTTATATGGTAAAATGTGTTCCCCAATGAGGTAATATCCGGGAAGAAGAAAAAGGGGAAGGAAAAAATCAGGTGAACAATAATGCAGCCGAAAGTTACAATGTCAACATTTTTTGAAATGTAGAAGCCACATGAAATAAATTAATAAAAATCTTTTGATAATTATAATGAAAAGATGTAGCGAGATTACCGATGAAGTTGATAAAAAATAGTGTTATTAACACTAGTGTTAGTAACACTTTATAGCAATTAGTGATTATTATAATATAACAGTGATAATGCAAACAAAAGCATATTGGTAACAAACAATAATAATAATAATGATAAACATAGTGCACTACTCATACCACTATTATGCGAAAAATTCAAAGACATTGGTAACTAATTTGAATAAATACGGTAGTCATACATTTGAAGTGCAAATTTCATCTATTTTGAACAAGTTCATTCACAGCGACCAACGCCGGCTGTCGCGATCATTCTGGGTGGTTGTATGGATGGGTGCCAAGTGATTGATGTTCATGTGAGGAATGGGGTTTTTATTTTCTCACATTATAATTGTTAATTACTCATTTAATAAAAGCTGGTTAATTATTCCAAAGCGTATTGCAATCTCCTTGTCGTTTCTTGACCGTAAATAGCAAATGGAATGACAGTCCTTCGCGAATGCTCTCGTGGCTTCCACAGAAAACGGACGCGTATATATTGGTGGTCGCAGCGGGAACTCCTCAGAACAGTTAAGCTACAAACAGTGCAAATACAATACAAAATCCTCCTCCCTCGGAGATAAATATCTTGAGATTATTGCAAACCTCACACAGATAAGCATTTGTCACAAGGTAAGACACTCATGAAGCGTTCAACATATCTGTTTAAGTCAAATTAACAAGTTTTCCGTATCTTTGAACTTTGATAACAGTATTTTGAAATCAGGGAATAAGTCATAGAATCACAATACGAAATCTAGGCTATGAGAATTATGCCTTAGCCACTTAGAATAATGATACGGTCTGTGATATTACTCAGTAGATTTCACACTGAAATAATCTTTCCACTTATCACAGAGCTGATCTGAAAAATGGAAATAAAAATATTATCGTCCAACATTAACTTTATGTTTTCCTTCAGCATGGCAGCTCCAGCTATCGGCATCGACCTGGGCACCACGTACTCGTGCGTGGGCGTGTTCCAGCACGGCAAGGTCGAGATCATCGCCAACGACCAGGGCAACAGGACCACGCCCTCCTACGTCGCCTTCACCGACACCGAGAGACTCATCGGAGACGCCGCCAAGAACCAGGTATGATGACACTACTAAACATCTCTAACTATTGCTTCTCAACTGAAGACATTTAAAATTGAATCGGAAACTCATCATTTAGTATATATTAGTACAGGCTATATGTATTAAGACGAGTTACCCCCATTGAACTATTTAAGAAATATAAATATATATTAAATAGTATGATAATCGTGATTACTTATATACTGTCGTTTGAACGGACAGGTGGCCATGAACCCCAGCAACACAGTGTTCGATGCTAAACGTCTGATCGGTCGCAAGTTCGACGATTCAACTGTTCAGAGTGACATGAAGCACTGGCCTTTCACTGTGATCAGCGAGGGCGGCAAACCAAAGTTGAGAGTGGAATTCAAGGGAGAAAGCAAGACCTTCAACCCTGAGGAGATCTCGTCCATGGTGCTGACCAAGATGAAGGAGACAGCCGAAGCCTACATGGGGAACAGTGTGAAAGACGCCGTGATCACGGTGCCCGCCTACTTCAACGACTCCCAGCGACAAGCCACCAAGGACGCCGGAACCATCGCGGGCATCAATGTTCTTAGGATCATCAACGAACCCACAGCCGCCGCCATTGCTTATGGACTGGACAAGAAGAGCGTAGGAAAGGGAGAGCGAAACGTGTTGATCTTCGACCTGGGAGGCGGTACCTTCGACGTGTCCATCCTGAGCATCGACGACGGAGTGTTCGAGGTGAAGGCAACAGCCGGCGACACGCATTTGGGAGGCGAAGACTTCGACAACAGGATGGTTAGTCACTTCACTCAAGAGTTTCACAGGAAGTTCAAGAAGGATCTCACTACCAACAAACGCGCACTTCGACGTCTTCGAACTGCTTGTGAACGAGCCAAGCGAACTTTGTCTTCGTCCACACAAGCCAGTCTGGAAATTGATTCTCTGTTCGAAGGCATTGACTTTTACACTTCCATCACCCGTGCAAGGTTTGAAGAGCTTTGTTCTGACCTTTTCCGAGGAACTCTAGAACCCGTGGAGAAAGCTCTACGAGATGCTAAATTAGACAAGACAAGCATCCACGAAATCGTGTTGGTAGGTGGATCCACACGCATCCCAAAGTGCAAAAACTACTTCAAGATTTCTTCAATGGAAAGGAACTGAACAAGTCCATCAACCCAGATGAAGCTGTTGCTTACGGTGCTGCAGTTCAAGCAGCCATTTTACGTGGTGATCAGTCTGAGACTGTGAAAGACATGTTACTTCTTGATGTGACTCCACTTTCAATGGGTCTTGAGACAGCTGGAGGAGTCATGACTGTGCTTATCAAGCGCAACACCACAATTCCCACCAAACATTCTCAGATCTTCACTACATATTCTGACAATCAACCAGGTGTTCTCATTCAGGTATATGAAGGCGAACGAGCCATGACCTAAGATAACAATTTGTTGGGCAAGTTTGAACTAAGTGGCATTCCTCCAGCTCCTCGTGGAGTGCCACAGATCGAAGTCACTTTCGACGTGGACGCCAACGGTATCCTCAACGTGACAGCGGTAGACAAGTCCACAGGGAAGGAGAACAAGATCACCATCACCAACGACAAGGGTCGTCTCAGCAAAGAGGAAATCGACAGAATGGTCAATGAAGCAGAATCGTATCGGGAACAAGACGCTAAACAACGAGATCGCATTGAAGCCAAGAACCGACTTGAATCACTTTGTTTCAGCGTCAAATCATCCGTAAATGAACCTTCAGTGTGTGGCAAGGTGTCTGCCGATGAAAAGCGTCGTGTGGAAGACAAGGCAGAAGAAACGCTGAGGTGGCTGGACGCCAATCAGTTGGCAGAGAAAGAAGAATACGAGTACAAGATGAAGGAATTGGAAGAGGTGTGGCGGCCGATAGCCAGTAAAATCCATGGATCAGCTGGATCCCCTGGATACAGTGCTTCCCCAGGAAACGGTCCCACTGTGGAAGAAGTTGACTAAGAATTCTTAGTTTTATTCCTAGTATGAATACTAATGTTCTTGTATATATCTATCTCCATAGAAATACCAAAATTATTTGACTAATCGCATTGTCTTAGAATGTCATGAATACTGCCCGGTTGTGCTGTTCTATGTATTTCTATGTTTTTATTTCTATATTTTTGTATAATTAAAACGTATTAACACATTTGTTGTCTTTGAATCTGACTCCATACATACCTACACATAACTGATAAAGAAATGTTGATTATCAATGATACGACATACTGAACAGAAATTTTATGATTAATAAACTAATAAGATTTTAATCATGATTTTCCGTTCAATCAAGATTATCTAAACATAAATATCTGAATTACCAATTCATTTTACATGTGTCAAAGTGTTTATCAGGATCCAGTAATCAAGCAGTTTTATCATAATACTGTCTTTACGAGGGAGGAATAGCAACATCTGACAGCCTCGTGTAACCCAGTTTGTGTATGCCTAAAGGAGATGAGCATCATACACTGAACCTTACACTGTTGAATCTATCTACCTCCCTACACAAAATCTCAACATATATGATTTATCAGCCCTCGAGGAAGAGTCTTGGAATCCTTGTTCTCAAGAGTAGATGCAGTTTTTTTCTGGACTGTGACACCGACACTTCCAAATTCAATCTGGGACATTTTCCAATATACCTGTCAGTTGATTCACCAGGTTCACTTGGAATTTATTGTCAGCTCAATACTGTCAATTGCCATCTTTTCATGTAAAACAGCACATTTGCTGATAAACACATCGTGCGTCTGGCAGTGTGGCTTGCAGCTTTTTTGCAAGTACTGTGGATTTGGATTAAACTCTAATCCGGAATTAACTTTTATGACGAGTACAGAGGACGCCTTATGGTAGAGCTCACATGGTGAAATGTATTTTCTGGTGTGCTCATAATTATCCAGGCAGAAGGAAAAGAAAAAGGATGGAAAAAATAAGAAGAGCAATAATGCAGCCGAAACAAAAACCTATAATGATGTCAACAAAGACGAATTAAATGTAAAGCCACAAGAAATTAATCTAAAAAAGAGCTTTTAAACGTGATTATGATGAGGAATATAGACAGAATACCGATAGCAGCAATACTTGATAATGATGAATGGTGATTGTTATATAATTCATAGTTATGGTGCAAACAAAATATCAATGACATAATAATAGTGATAATGAAAACTAAATCAATGCATAGTACACTAATAATACCACTATTTCTACTATGTAAACCATCAAAGCGATAAATTCAAAAACCTTGGTAACCAATTTGAATAAATACAGGAGTCATCACTGATGGGCATCGATACACAAAATTAGCAGGCGATACCGATACATCGGTTCTTCGAAGACAGTTAAAGTGATATCGATACCAATCCACGTCAAAGCCATAGAGAGAAAATATATATATGTAGAATGAAAGAGAGGGAGAGAGAAAAAATGTAAGAGAGAGAAAGTGAGAAACAGAGAGTTTGTGAGTTAATGTGAGTAAGAGAGTGAAAGGTGGGGGGGGGGGACGGAAAGAGATAGAGTTAGAGTGAATGTGTGAGTGAGTGAAAGGGAGAGTATGAGTGAAAAAGAGAGGGGTAGGGAGAGAGTGAGCGAGATTGTGTAAAAATAGAGAGAAAGAAGGGGGAGGGAGAGATCGAGAGCGAGGGAGAGAGAAAAAAAGACAGATAGTTCGGGTGAATGTGTGAGTCAGAGAGAAAGGGAGAGAGTGAATCCTGTCAGGAAAACATGCAATTTTTCTCTCCTTGTACTCTTGAGTTTTCCTGATACATTCCTTTTCTCGCGAGAATAAGTTGAGAGCGTGAAAAGATACTGTATAACCAGTGAAATCTGCGGAGGCCTTTCTCTCTCACTCGTTTTATCTTTCTCTTTTCTCTCTTGAGCCATCCCTCCCTATATATATCTTTCTCTCTTACCGTCATTTTTTCTTAGATCGAAGCCACCGTTAGGTATGTATGTCGATATAAAGATTTCTTTTCTTTTTTCTTTACAGACGGGAATATACACAGCCAGCTGTGGAAGTTCTCAGGTCTATACCCTGTTTCGTTCCCTACAATTTAGCGAACAGACAAACAGATTCACACTTCATGACTAATATTAGTAAATGACAATAACAACAACAGTAGAAGGTCGATTTTCCTTTTTATTCACTCACCGGGACGTCCACAACTCGCTGTGGTTGTTTTCAAGTCTTCATACTTTTCTGTTCCCCACATTTTAGCGAAGAGACAAACGTGATTCATACTTCATGACTATAACAGCAGTGGTAAGCAGAAGTTAGAAAGCGTTTACATTAACGGTAAGAATCACAAAACATTGAAATGTTTATCACAATGGGGAATTTATTCGTGATAATGATGACAGATATTAAAAGTAGGAAAATAGCGATTTTAATTATGTCGCGGAAAATAAATGGTGTGGGACAATAAATATGAGAGGAAATAATACAAAGAAAATGTATTTCTTGTCCTCTTTTGTTCTATTGACCCTTTATGACCTCGACCTTCTTCCTATAACGTTATGGCAGAGCTTACATGGTAAAATGTGTTCCCTAATAAGGTAATATCCGGGCAGAAGAAAAAGGGGAAGGAAAGAACAATAAGACGAACAATTGTGCAACCGAAAGTTACAATACCTTCAACAAAGACTAATTGAAATGTAGAAGCCACACGAAGTGAATTAATGAAGATCTTTTGACAATCTTCATAATGAAAGATGAAGCAAGAATAGCGATGAAATTGATAAATAGTAGAAGTGGTAGTGGCAATGGTACTAGTAATATACTTTATGGTAATAAATGATGATTATAATATAACAGTAACGATAATGCAAACAAAATATTGATAAATAATAATAGCAATAATGATAATCATAAAACCAATACATAGTGCACTAATCATACCACTATTGACTTTGCAAACCAACAATGCGAAGAAACTCAAAGATATTGGAAACTGATTTTAACAAATGCGGTAGTCATACATTTTAAATACTCATACAATAGTAACGACAAATAAAAATCATGCCAAACGACGACAATCATTATATCAACAACCATTTTTATCTATTTTGAACTCGTTCATTCACAGCGACCAACGTCGGCTGTCGCGATCATTCTGGGCGGTTGTGTGGACGAGTGCCAAGTGATCGATGTCCTTTTGAGGGAGAATTGGATTTTTATTTTCTCACAGGTCATAACATTGCAGCACTCATTCATATGAAAGCAGTTTAATGATTTCAGTGCGCACTGCACTCTATTTGTCGTTTAGTGAGCGCAAATGGCAGATGGAATCAGACCTTCGCGAATGCTCTCGTGGCTTCCACAGAAAACGGACGCGTATATATTGGTGGTCGCAGCGGGGACTCCTCAGAACAGTCAAGCTACAAACAGTGCAAACACAACACAAAGTCCTCCTCGCTCGGAGATAAATATCTTGCTATTATTGCAGACCTTACACAGAGATTAGCCTTTATCACAAGGTAAGTCACTAATGGAACGTTCAACATATCTGTTTAAGTAAAATTGACAAGTTTTCCATACCATCTTTGAACTTTGATAACAGTATTTTGAAATCAGGGAATAAGTCATAGAATCACAATACGAAATCTAGGCTATGAGAATTATGCCTTAGCCACTTAGAATAATGATACTGTTTGTGATATTACTCAGTAGATTTCACACTGGAATGATCTTTCCATTTATCATAGTTATTCTGGAAAATGGAAATAAAAATATTATCGTCCAACATTAACTTTATGTTTTCCTTCAGCATGGCAGCTCCAGCTATCGGCATCGACCTGGGCACCACGTACTCGTGCGTGGGCGTGTTCCAGCACGGCAAGGTCGAGATCATCGCCAACGACCAGGGCAACAGGACCACGCCCTCCTACGTCGCCTTCACCGACACCGAGAGACTCATCGGAGACGCCGCCAAGAATCAGGTAAGATGACAATGCTAAACATCTTTAACTATTGCTTTTCGACTGAAGACACTTAAAACTGGATCGGAAACTGATCATTTAGCATACATTAGTAGAGGCTATATGAATTAAGATCTCCCAAATACTATTTAAGAAATATAAATATATATATTAAATAGTATGATAACCGTGATTACTTATACATTGTTGTTTGCACGGACAGGTGGCCATGAACCCCAGCAACACAGTGTTCGATGCCAAACGTCTGATCGGTCGCAAGTTCGACGATTCAACTGTTCAGAGTGACATGAAGCACTGGCCTTTCACTGTGATCAGCGAGGGCGGAAAACCAAAGTTGAGAGTGGAATTCAAGGGAGAAAGCAAGACTTTCAACCCTGAGGAGATCTCGTCCATGGTGCTGACCAAGATGAAGGAGACAGCCGAAGCCTACATGGGGAACAGTGTGAAGGACGCCGTGATCACGGTGCCCGCCTACTTCAACGACTCCCAGCGACAAGCCACCAAGGACGCAGGAACCATCGCGGGCATCAACGTGCTAAGGATCATCAACGAACCCACAGCCGCCGCCATTGCTTATGGACTGGACAAGAAGAGCGTAGGAAAGGGAGAGCGAAACGTGTTGATCTTCGACCTTGGAGGCGGTACCTTCGACGTGTCCATCCTGAGCATCGACGACGGAGTGTTCGAGGTGAAGGCAACAGCCGGCGACACGCATTTGGGAGGCGAAGACTTCGACAACAGGATGGTTAGTCACTTCACTCAAGAGTTTCACAGGAAGTTCAAGAAGGATCTCACTACCAACAAACGCGCACTTCGACGTCTTCGAACCGCTTGTGAACGAGCCAAGCGAACTCTATCTTCGTCCACACAAGCCAGTCTGGAAATTGATTCTCTGTTCGAAGGCATTGACTTTTACACTTCCATCACCCGTGCAAGGTTTGAAGAACTTTGTTCTGACCTTTTCCGAGGAACTCTAGAACCCGTGGAGAAAGCTCTACGAGATGCTAAATTAGACAAGACAA